GCATTTCTTCCTTCAATCACCACGGAGCTCCTGCGAACCACTGGGCTGTGTTAACCACATAGGGGAAGTTTAGGGATGACTGGGACACCATCCCTGTCCTCAAAGCGGCTGTGCACCAGAACCCCGCATGTTCTGTGGCCGGACCAGAAACCAGAACAACATGCTCGAGGAGTCCCCTGGTCCCATCCCCTGAGCTATGGCCAGGAGCAGAGCTGGGGTGGAGTTTGGCTGGTGCCATGAAATAGCCTCAGAGAAGGACCAGGGCTAGAAGAAAATTGACCCTCGAGTCTGCGACACCATGGATCCCATCCCTCTGCCCTCCCGGCATCCCCAGGTAGCCAGGTGACCACTTTTGCATTTCCCTGGCCTGCAGGTGATCCTTGGGAAGCTGTATGAGACCCGGAGCAGTCAGCTGAGGAAGTACAGCCCACCCGTGAAGCTGGACGCCCTCTGGCATATGCCTCACTTCCGGAAGGTCAGTGTCACCTTCATCTGCCCCTTCTTGCACCGACGGCTGGCCGTGCTCACCTTGCCTGGTCTTTACCTGTTGTCTAGACAGCTGAGTTGGGTGGGCTTCCAACCGCCCAGCAGCAGCAGCAGCAGCAGCAGCAGCAGCAGCATCCGACATTTCCGAGCACCTCCACAGCCGGTGTTGAGCCCACTAACATCACCTCCACAACTCCGCACATGCACTGTGGGGAGAAGGCAGTGGCTGTCATCAGGCTGTTGTTATCAGCCTTGTGCTGAACCCCAGCCGTCTGGCAGCAGAGCCTGGGTGCCCATCCACCTGGGACAGATGCTGTCCGGGCCAAGCCTCCCTCCAGGTAGGGAGTCATGCATGCACCATGTCCCATGTTAGGAACAGGACCTTGGGGACAGAATACAGCTGTGTGTCCACCAGCACTAAACTCCCTGCAGGGTGCATCCCTGGGGAAAGGGGTGGTGAATGTCTACTGTGGACCAGTGTAAGTGACATGCACCCAGACTGACCTGGATAAGGACCAGGGAACCGTCCTGCTCTGGCCTCAGAACTGGACCGTTGTTCATTGGGCCGTGTAGCCCCAGCAGGGATTCATCTTCAGCAGCTTTTAGCAGAAAAGAACAACGTGAGAGCTGGGGGCATTGCGCAGAGGGAGGGGACGGGAGACGTGGGAACAGAGGCTTCAGGATGGGGGGCCATCGTAGCCCAACTCAGGCAGAGAGAATCCTTCTGGGAGGCCATGAGGGACTCACCCAGCCCCGAGAAGACAGCTGCACAGGCAACGTCCCCAGCCAGCCAGGCCCGGCTGCCGTGTCGCGTTAAACTGCAATTCAGACAGTGAAGGGGCCGGTGCCTTCCTGAGCCTAATGCACTCGAACAAGCTGCTGAGCTTTGCTGGAGAAACCTGCGTTGCCCCCCTTGATGTGGCCTCTCCTGTCCTGCCCAAGTGGCCTCCATCAGCATATGTCAGTGACCATCCACCCCGCCGCCTGTCAGGCCGCCCAGCGCCATGCAGGAGGCGGTGGCACTTTACCGCCTCTCTCAGTTAGGAGCCGTCCCTCTCGGTTTCCTGCCTCTTCATGCCACTTGCCCCCTCACCACTCCTCTCATGCCCAGCAGTGTGCCTGCACGGCCGCCTCCCTCACCCCTCACCCGCTGCTTTCCTCCTTTGCTCTTTTCTCCCTCGTATCCCTGACGACCATGGGGACGCTGCCAGGGAGGGGCCAGGACCCAGGCTGCTCTGCTTTGCAGCGTCGGCCCCCAACCCCTTCTTCTCGGATTTGGAGTTGAAGGCTAGGGACAGAGGAGGCTCTGGTGGCCTTCCCTCCAGCACAGCACGGTGTTCACACCCTAGGTAATGCTGGTGCTCCTGTGCTGAGAGCCCCCGTGTCACACACCTGTATCCCTGCAGCTCCCAGCAGTGAGTGTCTGCTTTCAAAAGAGGGGGTTTGACTCAGCTCATCATGGCCTCTTCCCGTCTCCAGACTGTCATTCTCAAATACTGCTCCAGCGTTGAAAAAAATAAAGTAAAATACCGCTCCGAGCAGCCGTGAACCTGGAACGATAACCTTCTACGGGGGCCAGGTGTGGTGCCGAGGCCTCTGTGTGCTTTGCTTCCTGTTGCCCTCAGAGCCGGCACCTGCCTCAAGGCACAGGTGAGAGGCGAGTGGCCGGCACGGTGCTCGCTGGTGAGTGGCTGGGCCAGGACCCCGGGTTTGTCAGACGGCAGGGCCCACGCTGGTGCGCACTGCCTGCTGTGCCAGAGAAGTAAGGACGAAGAGGATAAAAATGCAAGGCCCAGTATTTATTGGGGGTTTCACACCTTCTCTGAGGATGCTCATGGATTCTGGGAGTTAAAGCTGCAGACTGTCAGCCCCATCCTGGAGGCCGAGGTAAACGGGGCTCGCACAGGACTCTCAAAGCAGGGCTCATCCCGGGGCACCACCCTGTACAGCCCTGCCGAGATCCTTAGACCACACTCAGTCCCTTCCCTGTCAGGAAGTGATACCAACAAAAGGCATTTATTGAGCCCTTACTATGTGCCAAGCTCTGGACACACATTATCTCATAGCTATCCTGTCCCCATTCTACTGATGTGGAAACTGAGGCCCAGGGAAGTGAAGGAACTTGCCCTGTAAGAAGTGGATCCCACGCCCAATCCAGGGCTGCCTAGGCCCGGAGCCTCCCCAGGCCCTACCCCAACAGATCCCCCCTTTTCACCACCAAAGGGCTACTTTCCTCCCCCTCCTGGCACTTATCAACTTTGCAATTAATTAATTAACTGGGCAATTTTTTCATCTTCCCGAGTAAAACGTGAGCCACAGGGTGCATGCCTGTTGGCCTCCCACAGTGTCCCCAGGGCCCAGCAGCATCCTGGCACAGAGCAGGTGGTCCGTAAACGTCTATGGAATGAATGGATGACAAGCCCAGCCCAGAATGACGGAAGAATTTCAGAGCCTCTCACCGACCTGACGAAACCCCCCTTCTCCACCCAGACCCCCTGGCACCCACCACCCCTCGCAGCCACTAACCAGCTCTGCACACGGAAGGCCTGGCCGGCGCCAGGACCGTCCCTCCACTGGTGCTGGTGGAGCTGCTGCCTGCCGTGTCGTGTGCGAAGCCCCAGGAGGGTCTTTGTCTGTGCCTCGTGCGGTGGCTGATCTGCCACCCCCACCCCGGCCCCATTATGAAGGGAAAAGCGCTTCCAAAAAAGTTGAACCTGTCATGGTGATGGATAACCTAAATGGACTCTCCCGGCTCATGAACAGATGTCGATGCTGAACTCTGTCAGAAATAATTAAACACCTTTCACACGGAAAAGCAGCAGGCAGGGGCGGCGGCTGCTCCGCGGCCGGGTCACCGCAACTGGCCAAGCTGCTTTCTGCACCGACCCAGCCTCTGCGAGACCCCCGCCCTGGCACTACATGTGCCACTTACAGGGTTGCGAGGGGAGGGGGACCCAAGAGGGGAGAGGACACACCCCTCGGTGCGGTTCCTTCCTCGGGCCTCACGGGCCTCATGGGGAGGCCTGCTCTTCTCTCTGGTCTGGTCTGTGGTGGGATCAGCAGTTGCCATGGGATGGCCAGTGCCTGGGAGGGAGAGTCAGGCAGCCTCTGGCCAAGGGACTTCCTGCTGGGACATTTATACTGTGCCGGCCCATCGGAGAGGCCTGGGAGCTCTGGGCCTCAGTTTCCTCACCTGAAAATGAGGGGATAGGACTAGTTATTGAGGGTTCCTTCCAGCCCAAGATTCTGTGATTCTGAGTTCACTGGCCAAGGAGCCATGTGGGAGGGGGGACGGATGTGGGAGGAGAGAGGGGGGTCTTGGAGGTGGCAGACCCCAAACCCAGAGTGACCTGTCAGGGGGAACAGCTCAGACTCTTCCTGAGTGCAGGAATTGCTTGGCTTGTGGTCGACACCCTCTGTGCCCGGTGGCATGGGGGCTCTCTCATGCCCTTCAGCAAAGTGTGCTGGGGTCTGTAGGGCAGAGAGCGGTGGAGGGGAGCGGTGAAGGGGAGCAGTATAGTGTGTCTGTGTGCACAGGACTCCAGGGTCAGCTAGACCAGGGTCAAATGGCAACCCCGCCACTCCCTGCCTGTCAGGTGGTTTTACCTAAGACCTGCTTCCTCTTCCATAAGTAAAATGGGCTAACGATGCTCCCTGGCAGAGCTGCCAGGACGACGTGATGAGGACACAGGTGCACAACATTCAGCAAAGTGACAGGCCAGGTTAAGCTGCCAATAATTGGCAGCTGCCAGGAGGATGGTTGTGGTGATCATTCATTCATTCACTCATTCATTCATTCACAAATCTTTTCCTTGGGCACCTTTGTGCCAGGCCCCATTCTCAGCACCAAAGACATGGGGGTGAACAAGCCAGACTGAGGCTATCACTGTGGCTGTGGGGTTGCTGGCCACTGGCATGGAGTGAGATGGACAGGTGGACAGACAGACAGATGGACAGACAGATGCACAGATGGACGGCTAGATGGAGAAGTTTGGAGAAGCTCCACCCCCGGTGTCCAGTGTTCACAGCCTAAAATGGTTAGGAGACACCAACCTTAGTTGGCAGCCCCAAGTTTGGGAGTAGAGACAATCCCCATAGTGGTAACCCCATGAAACACAGCCCTGGCCTGGGCTGGCCCACCCTGTTCCCGTGCCTTTTGCAGGAACCTCGTCAGGGCTCTTCCCAGATGGGGAACTGGACATCCTGGCTTGTCCAAACAGCCTCCCCTGGGCTTGTGCAGAGATGTGATTATAAGCAGTGCCCCCTTTTGCTCTCAAGGGTGACCCAGTCTGAACCACACGGTCTGTGGTTGCCTAGTCATAGGCCATGAAAAGCAGGTGGTTTATCCTTCTGCCCAAAGACAGAGGGGCAAGTGCTCCCAAATGCTGACGGTGGCGCCAACAACCACAGGACATACTGGAGGCACCGATGCGGAGTGGCTTGAGTGTGTGTTGGCAGAGTTAGATGGCGAAATATCACACAGCCGTGAAAGCTGTGACTTTGATCTGTGCTTACCAACACTGTCATCACATTGTTGGGCAAAAGAACCTGTGCTGTGTGACCCCGTCAGGATAGATGCACCCAGACATCTCTCTACACAGATGTCTGGAAGGAGGGTACCCAAATGGTAAAAGTGCTGGTCTTCTGGGAGGCAAAGTTGAGGCTGAGTTTCTTTCTCTGACGCTCTTTTCTGCATTGAGTGTTTTCTGTTTGAATGTTTGCAGTGCATGTGTTCAGAGGGAGATTCTGCATTCCTCCCCCGTATTTTTCCCGATGTGCAGCTCCCTGCTCCTTTGAGCCCAGTTCTTCCTGATATCTCACCACATGCTCACATGCCGGCCAAGCCCAGTTTCCCATATTAAGTTTCCAGCAGGCTTGATGGTCAGCGGCCAGCACTGTACTCCAGCAGTAAAGCTGCTGACTTTGGAGTCTGGGCCTTTATGGCCAAGTCCATGTTATAATTGGAGACCCAGCATCCACTTAGGAAGG